GTGTTGGGAGGGGGGGAGGTGAGTGTGTGTGTGCAAGCCTGTGTGTGTTTTACCTTTATTTTTTTAAAATCCTGAAGTATCAATTCAAGCTCTCCTAGTTTTGGTATTTTACATGCGCCCCCCTCCCCCCGGATAAGTCCCGAAAGACGCTTCAGCCGGTGTGCCTGAACTTAATTGACCCCGTCAACGGTCCCCGACACACGCGGAACTCACTTTGGTGGGAGACATGTCACGTGGTGCCAAAGCACGACTGAAAGAGTTTTACTGAAGGGTCTTGATGACGGGCCCGATTAACCAGAACTCGGATAAAGCTTGTTTTGAAAGTAATAGCAGAACTACGAATAATACATGTATTGATAATTTGTGTGTCGCAATTTAAACTAAACAGCTATCAATCAGGCCACCATCGGAGAATTCTGAGTTGAAACAAAAATAAAAGCGAAAATGATTTAAGGCCTAGGTCTTGAGAATGCCCCAAGTCGGAATGCCAAACCAATATAATATTACTTCCATTATACATGTACTTGAAACAACATGGGCTTGCAAAGATCCAACAAAACAACTAAATTCGACATAGACATTTAGGAAAATGCTTCCCACAGAATAATATTTTACAAAAAATCCGGCACAATAGACGGAACAAAAAAAATAATCGGGATACACGGGATCAAAATTGGGAAAATCGAGATACTTGAAATTTGGGGTGAAAAACCTAGATATCCCGAATACATCGGGATGAGTGGCAGGTTAGGAAAATAAACTAATTCATTATTCTTCAGAGCCATCCCAGTCGTTCAATGGTGGACAATTCATGTTTACTAGATCTAGTGTGTTAAAGAAGGATGGGGGTAATCTCACGGCCCACGGCAGGGGTAAACTCAAGGCACGACACCGGCAAATATAATGCGAGCGACCAGAACCTGGGCCAGAGAGGCTGATCTGGGTGGAGCTTCTGTGCTCAAGCAAGCCGGTGTCTCCGGGAACTGCGCGCAGCTCAGATAAGTAGATTCTAGGTCTTCTGCTTCTGACACAGAGTCACAGACAAAAGGTGACTGCGGTGTCATGTGTGTGGGTGTGTTGTTAAATCATTGACTCGACTTCGGGGCAGAGAAGGGGGGAAGTGATGCTTGCCTGACGCACACTACCTAAGTTTTAAAGCGTATACAAACCCACGAAACGAAATTTTAAAGAGTAAAGCTCACGCACCACCAAAACTTTAAGGGGGTAATTTGCAGGTTTAAGGGGTAATATACGCACAAATGTGCGTAAAGGGGAGCCCTGGGCTAAAAAATTTAAAAATAATTATCATAGATAGAGGTAAAAACTGATTTCATATATATTCGGAATCAGCGTCTCAAAATAAGCAAAGTTGCTCGCGGAGAACCTGATTTGGTGCGTTATTTAAGTATATTTTAGCAATTTTATTATTTAGTTGATCGTCAAGGGTGCAGCTGTGCATCAAGGTCACTCGGTGCGTTGTACATCTGCAGTCAAACCAAAGTCAAAGCTTCTACGTTTAAACACAATACGGTAGGCCTACAGTATGGCCATCCTTTTCTAAACTTCTAAAGACACTGTTCTGCTATTTTTATCAAAATGTACAGGGGAGGGTTCTCATGATCTAGAGGTACAGTGTTCGCCTTTCATTCATTAGGTCTAGAGCTCGAAACCTTCACATAGAGTGCAGGCAAATCACTGTCGTCGCAAAGAGTCAAAGAGACATGGAGGCTACATGACGAGGAATCTCCTCGATGGAAAGAAAACTGGACGATAGATTGGAACGTGTAAACAGACAACACAGTTCGATAAAATGGACAGTTCTCTCATACGACGAATCAGATACAATTTCTCGTTGCGTGTAACCGGGGCTTACCCCCCCGCCCTCACTGTTGGTATGATACACGGTGGTCCACCAAAGTTAATTCCCCTAGATCTACCCACCCTCAACCACCACCTCTCGCTCACCTCGCAGCTGGCTTGCACTGTGCGCGAAGTTGCCCGCGGAACTGTGGCTACCTTTTGTCCACACGTAGTAGTTGTAGAAGTAGAAGAACTAGAATACTAGATTATGAGTGCGCAGTTAGGCTAGGCGTGCGTAGTAGTAATCACGGGCCGAGACGGGTGGTCCAGTAAAGTACAATCCAGCGAAAGAAAAAAAAAATCCAGGGAAAGCAACAACAACAATAACAATGCGGTGACCTCAGAAAGGAATGGTTTTTCACTTTTGACTTTTGTAAATGAAAGTGGCTATTCTCACCCGCCCGGAAGTTCTCGAAACATCAACTCCTCCCCTCTTCTCTCTGTCTCTTTCTGAATACTGTCTATCGGTGTGGACGATCAAATTGACCAAAACAAAGTTAAAAAATGATGTTAAAACACAAAAGTAAATTAATTTGGTTGTCTACAAAGATGCTACGGCTATTTAACTTTTCGAATCGAGCCGAACTACGCGGGTTGCCATTTTGTTTTGCCGGAAATTCTCGCGCTACTCCTCTCTCTCTTTCTCTCCACTGCCCACAGACAAAATTGTACGCTTTTAGTAGTAATAGTAGGCTAGTTGTAATGGAACGTTTGTTCACGGCACAGAGGCACAGAATTCTACAATTTTTCTGTTATCACAGTGTACAATTCTGTGGTTTAGGGTGAACGCAAAATTTGGTGAACGCGCACCGGGTGAGAATAGCCACAAGACTCGCCTGCACTATGTGAGAATAGAGGTGGCCTTTGTAAATTTTGTTATAAATGTCTTGATCTGACTGAAAGAAGTCTTGCCTAGACAAGAAGGCCACCTGTCTTACAATAAATTACGGCCACTTTTTTCCTTGACAATGGGTGGCCATCTTACACAGGTTCGACTGTATCTGAGGTCAATCATTCAAATTCAATGTACCACTTACGACTTACCACTTGCGGTATGTGAGTCTCATCGACCCCGGGAAAATATCACTTTAACAAGTTCTGCCTTACTCAGCTCTAGCCTATTGCCTTGTTTCGCATTTTGTGCCAAAATGAAACTAAATAAACAGAGTGGCGTCCCCTTGGATCACCACCCGAATGACATAACCAGAGCTTTATAACCTAAGCTGGGCTAGATTACATGCAAAGGGAAACAACACAGCATAGAAAAGACCCGGAAGTAATTGGGGAAGGCATACGTGTTAAGCATAATATAGATCTATGGACATCGTTAATCATACTGACTTTCGAAGTGATATCCATGACAAAACAAGGAAAATTTATCAGAGATGTCATATAGGGCGATTCTGTTGACCCAGCGTGGGGCGGTCACCATGAAGCGTTAGGAACCGTTTAACTTAATTAACTGCAATCCTAAAATTACTCACTCCTCGAATCGAAATTAGAAAGTGAAAGTCCTTGGCTTGAACACCTTGTTGTCACTGGGAAAAATGGAATGCATAATAGGTAGTGGTAGACCTAGAATAATTTGCTTAGAGAATCTGAACAAAATGTGTTACTGTGAAGAGACCAGGATGAGAAATATAGGCTAGGCTAGCGAAATGACTTAGACTTAATATATATGACTATGTCCCCTGACGTCGATATTCCTTGATATTTCAGACCTTACTTACACTAGGCTGGCCAGAAGGAAAAGAGGGAAGGAGAGGAGGAGGGGCGGCAGTTAAAGAGCATGGTCCTTTTTTAAAGTGACAATTTCAATTTAACCAGTTCTGCTCTGCTAATTTCAGGCTATTTATAACATTCTTCGTTGGTAATCAATCTAGGATATTCAAGGCGATGGGATGGGCAATTCAATCCAATGGTTCAGGAAACATTGCCAGTTGGGATACCTTTCTTTGTTAACTTTGTAATTGAAATAAAAGGGATTTCTTAATCATATTTGGAATAAGACAATGCAGCCTAGATCTAGCTCCCCAGAAAAAAATGAAAAGCTTTAAAATATCCATTGTTTTTATTTCAATAAAAGCATAAGTTCAATTAAACTTGACCAATTTCTTTAACTTAGAGCCCTGGCTATAGCGAAACAGGAAGGAAATGTTCTTGCTAGCTGAAGTCTGAAGTAAACAAAATGGCTGCTGCCAGACAAGCCTTAGAGCAATTCTTTACGAAAGATAAGGTAGGTTTTTCGATATCAAGAGGAACATGGTCAATAAATTAAGGAGTGTGCCTTTGACACAAACAATTGATAAATTATCTCAGTTTCATAGGTCTAGAATCTAGATCTACTAGTCTGCGGATGGTTATAGTTAGAAAGCGAACCCACAAGGCAAGTGAAAAAAAGGGCAATTTGCTAAGACTAAGACAAAAAAAGTCCCAAAAAATCTAGAATCTAATCTAGATCTAGATTCTAGATCTAAGATCTAGACTAGAGCTAGATCTACGTTAATGCCAGGTAAGGCAATATTTTGTAGAACGTAGATCCAACGGGTGGTCTAAATATTAGATTGTACAAGTAGGCCCGGTGCCGGTGATCTTGTAGTTCCGTTCGTTAAAGTTAAAGTCCACGATCCATTTGTTTACATCCAGAGAAGAAATCCAGAAGTCTTGAAGACCAAATACTATTTGAATTAGGCTACACAAAGAGCAGGGATGCAACCTAACTGCAAAACATCAAATTAGGACAAAACTCAGGGGGGGCATGCCCCCCTGAACCCCCCACACCTCCGTATTTTTTTTAGGTCAGGGGGGCAAGCCCCCCTGAAACCCCCCTGCTTGACTTTAACGAACGAAACTACAAAATCGCCGTAGGCCCTACTATTTACAACAGTGGCAATGCCCACCGAGCGCGTTTTGTTCTGGCGATTTTTGGCCCCCGCAGGGGGTGTGTTTCGTGGGACGCACTAACGCGAAGGTTGTTGTCTTCAACTCGCTCTCACGCCGCTTCTCGTGAATGGATATGAATGAAACTTGGCTGCCAATCAGAAAAGAGGTAAATCTTGTAGTATGCAGTTTGACAACATACCCATCCTAGAAGCAGTCGAAAACGCTTGCGAAAGTGGTGCGCTTTGAAGATTTTTCGGAGCTGTGATTTGTCAAACTGACTGATATGTTGTGCACCATTTTTCTTTTTCCCTTAAAATTTCAAGCTTCCGTGTTTAGCGGTTTTCGCGTAATCTTTAAAAATGTGGGAGTAACTAAGGGAAAAAGCGACATTGCCATTTGCGCGTACTGGGTGAATGCCCTGCTGCTGGGAAATTTCCACTGAGTGACGTCATCAGCCATCGGTCGCCTCGGGCGCTACAAACGAGGCCCCGCTTATGTGAACCGGAAAGGGGGGGGGAAGGATACTTGAAAACTAAACGGGGGGCTTGATAACTTGTGTTTTTGTTGCATTTTAGTCTCAATACAATAGACAGGGTCCCCACAGGGTCGGGAAATCGGGAAAAAGTCAGGAATTTTGAGATAGGTCGGGAGGTCAGGAAAAAGTCATGAATTTTGTGATGGGTCGGTAAGTCGGGAAAGGATAGGGCCTGTGTAATGTGCAGCTATCTAGACTGTATGGTTGATGAATCCTAAAAGTAAAAGGGAAACGTAATTGAACCGCTGTGACGGAAGTGTATGTGTGACACCGAGGCTCGATCGGGAAGAATCAAGATCTGCTTTCGTTACCGCCCAGAAATTTTCCGGTAATAGTCTGATAGAAAACGCAACATTTGTAACATGCAGGTTGTGCATTATGAAAGCTGTGTCGCCTTGAAAATAAATCAATATTAAAAATTGTCCTCTGCTGTCGCTTGTGGAAAAAAAAAAAGAAAAAGAAGTTACAAAAGCGTCTTGACAGGTTCGCCCTCGTGACCGGTCAATGAACCTGTGAGTACCGGCGGTCTGAGCGCTGTGAAGTATAGGACTCCTTTATGAGCAATTGCCAAAATGTGAGACTCTCTTGAGACTCAGTGGTGCAAAAAAATGTTTCTTACCAATTTGACTCTCTTTTCTGTCAGTCACAGATTGACATTTAGTGCTCATATTCCTAGAGTATCAGAGCAAGGAGATGTACGGTTTTGGAGATATGGGTCTATTGGTTTGGCAACCACTGTATTTCTTGTATGTGTAACAGTGATGACAAAAACAGATAAGCAGCAGCAAGGCAAATTATGGACTTTAAATTCCATTTGTTTAGTAAAGTAAACAAAGACTTTGTACACTATGAACTCCATTCATAATGGTAATATGAATGACAAGCTTTGTAACAATGACGCAGTGCACAGAACATGTCATCATTGTTATGTACAAGAAAGGATACACATTGGACATTATCATTGACAGCACAACAGTGAAAGGTTGTACAATTACAGTTATCAAAGAAATACGCAGTATAAATGCTATCTATTTTATTATTATTTATAAAGTTCAAGTTTATTTTCCTGATCGTTTGGAGAAATAGAGCCGGCCATAAAAGTATTCCCGGCAGGTGGTCAGCTAATCTGTAATTTTACCGAGCTGCAGGCTACTTTGACTTTGCCCATGGAGTCCAGCTAGGGCTAAATGAGCTACAAGAATTGCGAGAGAAAAGTGAGATACTCATTTAATGGAATAAGCCTCCGAACTCAGGAATCGAACTCGCATCTTTTGTATATTCTGTTAGGTGAAGGGCTTAACCATATATACAGCTCAAATGATCCACGTGTTCCAGTGATATACTGAGGTAATATGACCCCGGGATTCTTGCTTCTCTTCTCAGACTTTCAGGCCGAAGAAGCGGTTTGAAAGTGGGACCTTGAAATACAATCTTCACAAACAAGCAAATGCGTCGTTGAATTCAGGAATTGACCTGAAGGAAGTGGTGAAGTTGCCCCCAGGGGAGGATGTCAACGACTGGGTTGCTGTTCACGGTATGTATCGAATGTAGACTGCACACTGAACAAATCGCATCTTGTGTGGCATTGTGGTGAAATCAGGCGCTTGTCAAAATACTGAACTCGAAGAAACTGTCACTTTTCTGCCGGTTTAGAAATTTTATTCTAATTTTGGTCTTTGGCTCGACACCCTTGTTATATTTATTTAAAAACACATTTTTGTGTTGATTTTAGTGAGGCATGCTGATTAAAGGCACAAAAATTGCAGATTTTCTTTTTCCTAGGACTCTCAATCTTTGGAAGTCACCAATTTTGGCGGCCATTTTCCTGCTAATTTTACATCTGAAACCAGGCGACCCCCTCCTCATTCAATTGTAAATGTCTCGACTTCTACTCAAGATAGATTGGTATTTCTTTTTTCATCCTTTACCACGCAAAAAACAGATGAACAGTTCTGAAGATGATACCAATAACTCCACATGCCCAATAATTGACGAGCGCCTGATTCCACCGTGTCCTGGCACAAATGTGTGGCATTACGGTGAAATCAATGTACGGTGCCTTCACCATCAGAGGCTTTAAGTCCTTGGGATAGTGCTGTAGCTTTTATTTTACTTCAGATAGTATGGGCACAAATGTGTATGTTACGGGACACAGCACTACCACATTTTTAAACCAACAATATGAAGTAACAAATACGAAACTCTTACAGTAGGTGCTGGATACGGTTATTTGAACAAGAGTAGTGCATAGTAGATTTCACGCAAAGTGGGTTGACCATGGTTCTGTCCCTTCCTCTTCTCTCATGTCCGACTGTCCCCTCATAGGCCGTGAGTGCCCGATTATATATATATATTTATATAAGCCCACGTTAGCTTCCCCAGCACTAGATCCCCGTGCTCGGCACGAGACCCCCGCGCCCAGAGTAAATCTCGATAATTATGGTGAAAAGTGGCCAAATATCCACAACAGTGTATCTATCTACATATAGTCTTAGGACTACTTCTATGACTTTAGCTATGTTTGTTTGAGTGGAACACTAGACTAATCATTGACATTATATTATAGTGGAAATTGTCTGAGATGGCCACCCATTGTTGAGGAGAAAAGTGTTTGTCTTAGACAGGTTGAGGACTAACACAATGTTATTATAAAGCAAAAAAATAATGCGCGGGGGGGGGGTGAGAAATGTTTTTGTTTGTTTCAGTGGAGGTTTTACGGCACTCGCAACTGCATTATAACGTCATATGAGCGCCAAGGGGTGGATGTCAACAGAGAAGTCCTTACAGGGAATCAGACGTACTCTGCTCATCTCTCTAGCTTCAACAGCACAAAGTCTACTTCGACTTTCAAGGCACCCCAGAGATAGCGGGTCACAAGAGTGTGACGAACATAGAAAAGAAGTAGAGGAAAAATGACGATAGTAAGGATTGGGAAAGAAAAAGCAGCAGTTCCCTGCTGAAGTTCAGGCACAGTTATGAGCATGACATTGATGAATCAGCCCATTTACAATTACAATTCTACTGTGCATAAGAACATGGTTAATGTCCCCCTTTCGGGAATGGCCTAAAGACACTTCAACTTCAAGTCAGTAACACTGCCCCGGGGGCTGAATAAGAAATGGCCGTTTGAACAGACCATTGTCTTATAACACAGGTGACCATTAGACCAGGTTCAACTGTACTTGTAAAATGCCTGGATCACGCTGTAGAACGTAGGCATGTGCTTTATAAATTTAATGATTATTATTTTTAAAAAAATTGAAATTGATGATTTTTTTTTTCAGTGGTGGATTTTTTCAACCGCATCAACCTGCTGTATGGAACAATTTTTGAGCACTGCACAGAACAGACGTGTCCAACCATGTCCGGGGGCCCTAAGTAAGTCAACGCAATATGGCAGTGGATCTGCTTAAACCGAGCTTACTTAACTCTTTATCTCAGGCAAGCCGCTCCCAGCTGCTTGCGGTCGGAACCACTGTGCCGGTGAGCTGGTCAGCGACTCGGGCACATTCCTTTACGACGACTTTGACATCAAGTTACTTTTCAGCAATTGCCGAAAAGAGGTCTCTTTTATCGGGAGTTCAATCATTAGAAGAAGAACTATCAAAATAGCTTGATTTGTTTTGATTTAATGACCCATTTAGTGACGTTTTTGTCATTTTTAGATTTAGTACCAAAATAGGGGCCCCGGCGTAGTGGGTTTACCCCCTACGGAGATAAAGAGTTTATCCGAAAACAACGATAAACCGAAAGGAAATAATAAACTCTTTTATTTGAGCTACCTCTCTAAACAGAAAACACAACTAAACAGAGAGAATCTGGCGGTCCCACTGATGTCGGTTAAAGCGAACTCCTCTGGTATTTTGTGAGCTTCTCTGACATGATACGTCTTAGTAGTTCCAGTGAAACACTGATGTGATGAGCAGGATTTTTAAGAATGCTATTAGCATAAACAAGAACAACAGACACCATCATTGCTGCAACACAAGACAGAGTGAAGTGGAGGTCCATGATCTCCCACGCCAGTCGGCAAGGCACCGGATAATGATTAGCATAAACAGAAAGTTTTGAGACAAAGAGCTCCCCTCTAGATTGATTTGTGCATGGGTGAGAGGTTTCTGTCACAAGATGGAGTTCAGATTGATTGTACATGTTTCTTGTTTCTGGGGTACATTTGGGTTGATCAAGTATAAATATGATTTATATTGTAGAAAATCGTGTACGTGCACGTATCAGTGTGTGTTTTTTTCTAGCATGAAATGAATGTTTCCTTGTTTGATCAGGTCGGTGGTTGGCGGGTGCTCCTGTGTGGTTTGCTCCTTCTTTCCTATCGCACATCTGTTGTCCTTGTCTCTCCTCCTTATCTTTGTATGTTTTACTCTCTTGTTACAGCTCTACTTTTTGGGCTTTGTATGACATACTTGTGTTGCAAGTGCCTTAAAACTTTTACTTAAACTATTTTTTTTTTAAAACTTGAACTAAAACTTTTCAGTAACTTGTAATAAAACTTTTAAAGAAAAAAACTTGTACTAAAATTATTTTAAAAAACCCCGACTTATACTAAAACTAAAATAAAAACAAAAACTATTTTTAAAAAACTTTTACTAAAACTATAAAAAAAACAACTTTTACTAAAACTATAAAAAAAACCAACCCAAACTTATACTAAAACTAAAATAAAAACAACTTGTACTAAAACTTTGAACCCCCCCCCCCCCCCCCAAACTTGTGTCGACAGATACGAGTACCACTGGTGTGACGGGGTGAACTACAAGAAGCCGACGGCCCTGCCCGCCCCACAGTACATCACTCTACTCATGGAGTGGGTGGAGGCGCAGATCAACGACGAGAACCTCTTCCCCGTACAAGTTGGTGAGTCCTCGTCGCTGCTGCTGCTGCTCGGTGGTTTGATTATAATGTGTGTTACGACGCCATTGGAATCAGGCGCCCGTCAAGTTTTGGGCATGTGGCGGTTATTGGTATGATCTCAAAGACTGTTCATTTGTCTTGCTTTTTTTTGGAAAAAATATCCATCTATCTCGAATAAGAGTTGAGAAATTTGCGATTGAAGGAGGTTGGGGTGGCATTGTGTCAGAGGTAAAATTAGCCAGGAAATGACTGCCAAAGTTTGGTGACTTTCAATGATTAAGTGTCCTTCGAAACAGCAGATTTTCATTCTTTTTTTTGGCTGCAATCAATGTATTTCGGTAAAATATACCCTGAAATGTGTTTTTAAATGGACATAAAAGGTATTGAGTTTTTTAAAAAATTCGAAAAAAATCCCCAGCGGCCATAAATATACCGGTTTCTTTGATTTCAATAATTTCAATTTGAGCGTCAGATTTCTCCAAGCTGCCTCACATATCATCCAGACAGAGGGTTCGGGAAGCACTTAGAAGGAATTATTGTTGCCCCATCCCTTTGCTGCACTAGAATTACAAAGTTTTATCTGCTCAGCACATAGTTTTGAGAAATTTGACTTTAAAAGTTTTGCATTTCGCAACGTGTCAAGCTATTTCAAATGAAATACTTTGAATATAATAATAATAATAATAATAAATAGCATTTGTATAGAGCATATCCCCACTCAACAGCAGGCTCTATGCGCTTTACACTATATTATTACCCCAGCAGACCAATGAACACTCTGAAACATTCTCAGCTTCCCGGGAAGCATACAGTGCAAGCAGCTGATTAAGTGCTCAGACACTAACAAACTGACAAGATCTTTTGCTGTCTATAGCCGGGTACCCATTCCCACCTAGGTGAAGTGAGGAAAATTCGTGTAAAGTGCCTTTCCCAAGGACACAACGTCGGGCCCCTGACGGGATTCGAACCCATGACCTTACGGTTACGAGTCCGAGAGCCTAACCACTAGGCCACCGATGCCACATAGTATATCTTGCTAATGACTCCGACGAATAATCTTACGATTTTGATAGAGAAGAAAGAACATTTGGTTTCTGACCAAATGGTCTTCATAACTCAAAACGGCTAAAAAATGTCAGATAGAACTTTGTCATGTAATTCTAAGGTCGCGCCTTGGCAAGGAGACTTAAACCTGTCGTGGAGCTGGTGGACCTGTGGCAAACAGCAGCCTCAACGATAGAGACCGGGATGTCTATTTAAAGATGAATGAGGAGAAGGAGAGGGACAGCCTAGTGGTTAGGTTACCAGACTCGTAATCGTAAGGTTGTGGGTTCGGGGGTTTGAGCCGCGGGCCCAACGTTGTGTTCTGGGGAAATACACCTGACACAAATTTTGCTCACTTCACCCAGGTGGGAATGGTATCCGACCTTAGACAGGGAAAGGTCTAGTCAATATATTTGTGTTGTAGCGCCTGTAAATGGCTGCTTGCACTGTATGCTTCCCTGGAAGTTGAAGTTGTTTCAGGGTGCTCTCAGGTCTTCTGGGGTAATAGTATAAATTGTGAAAGTAAAGTGCATAGAGCTTGCGTCAAAGTTATGAAATCGAAGACACTGGCAATTTTTCGCCCATCGTGCAGGTTTTTTTTGTAGTTTTTGTTTTGGAGCTCAACTCCTTTTATGTCCAATGAAACCACATTTCTGTGTGGATTTTACTTGAAAACTTTGGTCAAAGGCCCAAAATAAATGTAAATTTGCAGTTTCGTAGGATACTCAAGCTTTAGAAGTCCCCTGACTTTGGCAGCCATTTCTCACCCTACCTCCTACAATAGAAAATATCTCGACTTCTATTCAAGATAAATGAATTAATTAAAGCAATACAAATGTCCCTATGGGAAATTGCAATACGGGAATGATAAAAACACATAGATGCACTTTATGCATATTTTAAATTATATATTACTTTTACACGTATAAAAAAGAATTGCAATATGAAGAGAAAAAGAAATCTTACAGTAATTCAACATGTTACCTCGTTATCCCTGGGTAACTTGATTAATTTTGCACTCGCATGGTTCCTCTACCTTCTGAAATCATCACTGTTTCTTGGCAGCATACACATTTAGTTCACAGAATTCAATGTGATGACGTACGTTTATTTTAATGAGGTTCCCAGAATTCAGTTTCATAACTTGCACTTTTTCCTCAATTTGTCTGTCTGTTTGTCATCCGCAGGAAAACCTTTCCCCAGGAACTATCTGAGCATTGCCAAAAAGATTCTGAAGAGGCTGTTCCGCGTGTTTGTTCACGTGTACATCCACCACTTTGACAAACTTCTCGCTATTGGGGCTGTGAGTTCACACGTCTTTTTAAAAATATTTTTATTTATATTTTTTAAAAGTCCACGCTGTTTGAGTTGTTTGCTTTGTTGAGAATAGTCAGAGGTCAGATGTGGGTGGTTGGTGGGTGCTCTGGTGTAGTTTGTGTTCCTTCTTTCGTATAAAAAAACTGTCGTCTTTTTCTCTCCTCTTTCTTTTTTATGTTTGTTACTCTCTGGTAACACCTGTAATCTTCGGCACTTATATGACCTAATTGTGTTGCCAGTGCCATAAAACGCTTACTAAAACTAAAAACTGGTCAGATGTGGGTGGTTTGCGGGTGCTCTGGTGTTGTTTGCTCCTTTTCTCCTATCAAACATATAATGTTTTTTTCTCTCCTCCTTCTTTTCTTTGTTTTTTTGTTCTTTAGTAACACGTCTAATCCTCGGCACTTACATGGCTTATTAAATAAATAAGTAATAATAAGTTATATATTTTTTTATCCCTGTTGGGAAATTTGGGTTACAATGGCGCACATGAATATATATGTAAATTATTAGAAATACCTACTTAGATGCGTACATAAATAAATACACGATATTCCATCAGTACAGTTCACAATTTCACATACATGCCATTGCTGGTCGCCACTAAGGTTTGTCGTGGGTGGTTGGCGGGTGCTCTGGTGTGGTTTACTTCTTCTTTCCTATCAAACATCTATCGTCCTTATCTCCCCTTTATCTTTTTTATGTTTGTTACTCTCTTGTAACAGCTCTAATCTTCTGGCGCTCATATGACCTTACGCAGTTGCAAGCGCCGAAAAACCCCTACTAAACTAAAAAGAGTTGTCGTGTATTGCTCAAGGATACACGCCCCACTGACCACCGACCTAAATCCCGAGTCGCTGACATGTGCTTGACTTTACTTTTGAGTCTCAACTCACAACTCACTTAGCCACTGGAGCCCCCAATTTGTACTGCAAGTGCCTGAAAACTGTTACTAAAACTAAACAGCACAGATCTTGTCTGTGTAATTACCCGATTGGTGGGTGGTTGGCGGGTGCTCTGATGTGGTTTTCTCCTACTTTCGTATCAAACATCTATTGTCCTTATCTCTCCTCCTTTTGTGTTTGTTACTCTCTTGTTACACCTCTAATCTTCAGCACTTAAATGACCTCACTGTGTTGCAAGTGCCATAAAACACTCACTTGATAATTACCTAATTGTGTTTGGAATGCTACTTTAGGAATTTTCTGATCAAAGGATTGGGAACAAAGTGGGGGGGGGGGGGGTAGCTTTTGGTTCTCTTAATCTCCGTTCTTGTGTGTGGGTGGTTGGTGGGTGCTCTGGTGTGGTTTCCTCCTTTTTTCCTATCAAAATCTGTCTTCTTTCTTTCTCCTCCACCTTTTTTGCGTTTGTTACTCTCTTGTAACACCTCTAATCTTCGCCACTGTGTTGCAAGTGCCGTAAAACTCTTACTTAAACTAGATAGTCCAGATCTTTTGTGTTTGTGTAATTACCCAATTGTGTTTGGAATGCTATTTTAGGAATTTTCAGATCCAAGGGTTTGGAACATGGAGGAAGAGGAGGAGGGAGGGAGGGATTGTGTGGCCTAAAGTGGCCGTTGGGTTTTCCTTTCTTCCAGTAATTAACGATTGTGTTAGCTTGTGTTGAAAGTCGTTTCTGTTTTTAAATTAATAAGATGAATATTTGGAATAATTTTCTTTAGTCAGAACACAACGTTTCATGTTACTGTTGTATGTTGTACTGTATTGTAAAGCGCTCAGAGCCTGTGTACGTTATAATAATAATAATAATAATGAAGATCATTTCTATAGCGCCCACTCCCGTGTAAACACAGCTCTAGGCGCTTTATGTAAATGCATGTACAAACAATATTCACACACGCTACTCACACGCACAATACACACACTCATACACACACACACAAACACACACATATACACATACACACACAAATACACACATACACACTCACGAACACATAACACACACTTGTGCACACACATGTATGCCAAACACACACACACACGCACACACACACACACACACACATCTACTTGCTTATCACACGCACTCGCTTACACATCGTCACGAAATGAGCATAAAATAATATACACAAAGCAATTCACAAAATACATAAATGGATACATAGTCATTCACATAACATTGTACCGAACATGAATCTACTGACATAAAAAGGATGTCATTAAATGTGTCTTTAAAGATTTCTTAAATTTAGACTCAGATGTTGTATGTCTCAAGGGTTGGGGAAGAGAGTTCCAAACTGACTTTATTCGGGGTTGAGCGCTATATAAATGTCATTTCTTATTATTAAGGAAGGTTTTTTGGTTGTACTGACGAGTGTGTGTGTTGTATGGTCAACAGGAGGCCCATGTGAACACGTGCTACAAACACTTCTACTATTTTGTGTCTGAGTACAACCTGATAGACAAGAAAGAACTGGAGCCTTTGGTGAGTGGGGGGGGGGGTGTCCATGTGGGTGCTTGGTGAGTGGGGGGGGTGTCCATGTTGGTGCTTGGCGGGTGGGTGGGTGGGTATTTGGAAGGTTTGTGGGTGGGTGGGTATTTGGAAGGTTGGTGGGTGGGTATTTGGAAGGTTTGTCGGTGGTTGGCGCTCATATGACCTTATGCAGTCGCGAGCGCCGTAAAACTTCTACTAAAACTTAAACTTTTTGTTCTTTGTATGTCACTTTCTTGTAACACCTCTAATCTTTGGCACTTTTTATGATCTATTTGTGTTGCAAGTGCTGTGATACTCTCACTGTGAGTGGTTGGCGGGTGCTCTGGTTTGGTTTGCTCCTTCTTGCTGGTTAGACATGTCTCATTCTTATCTCTCCTCCCTATTTTTTGTGTAGTGTTACTCTCTTGTAGCGCCTCCAATCTTTAACACTTATATGACCTTATTCAGTGCTGATAGTTTTCCGTGGTTTTCCGCTTTTTTTGTTGTTTCCAAAATATTACTACAAAAGTAAAGGTATGTGTTATATTATTGTAGTTAGCATTAGAGTTCTATGTTGAAATTTCAGGATGGCATCGGGGTCGGAATATTTTCCTCTTTTTTGACTTTTTCTCATTATCAGCACTGCTTGAGTTGCAAGTGTGATAAAACTCTTACTAGAACTAAAAACTAAAAACATGACTGCAAGAGAATCATGCTTTGAGAAAAAGCCCATTGACACAGGAGAAAGTTTGCCATCTGTTTGAAGCTGGTTATTTCCTTGCTCGGAATTCAGTTTGTGAATTTTGTTTGTTTGTTTGTTAGTTATGTGTGTTGCTCTTAGAGTATGTATCTGTATATAACTCCAAAGGTTTAGTATTTAAATTCCTGCATGTGGTTGAATGATGCATTTGATGTAAATGTACATTTGTCAGCTTTACTTCTCCTTTCATATTGAATTTTAATGAGAGTAATATATATAATTTAAATTTTTTTATGTATACCTGCATGTGTTTTTACGGTCCTGTACAGCCAAGGAAAAATTTCCCTCTGGGATAATAAAGTACTATCTTATCTTATGTTATCTTATCTTATCTTATCATTCCTTGTCTTATCTTGTCTTATCTTATCTTATCTTTCCTTGTCTTATCTTATCTAATCTTTCCTTGTCTTATCTTGTCTTATCTTTCCTTGTCTTACCTTATCTTATCTTTCCTTATCTTATCTTATCTTTTCTGTCCCCCACAGAGAGAAATGACTGAAAGAATCTGCCACTGAGAGCCGCTCGGACCCATGGCCCTCCTCCGACTGTCAGCAAATGTGCACTTACTTCAGGGAGATGTTGTTAAGTCATATGCAAAACAAAACAATAAAAAATAAAAAACCAACAATTAGAAAGTAACCGTTATTGAAAGTAAGCGACTGAAATAATCAAGGTAGACTTGGGGTGTGGTCAGTGGTAAATAGAAGCCCCCAGATCCGGATATGATACGTGGTATTGTTGGAATCTGAGAAGAATTGTCGCCGCGCCCCGTGTCTCAAAGAAAGAAAACGGTCGACATTGTCTGAGGCTGCCATTTGCTTTCGAGGAGAACAGTGCTTGTTTTAGACAGGTGGATGTCTTGGACAGTATCTTTACCGTATAAAAAAGATGCAAGGGGGGGGGGGGGGGGGGGGGAGTTGTGCAGGTGATTGTCTTGGACAGGTTGCCTTTACAGTGGGTTCAACTTACGTGTCTTTGAAGAGATGGATGAAAACATTTGTGTGAGCTGAAAGGCGCTGCGCTGTTTTCATATAAAAGTCCTAGTTTCAGGGATGGGTGGGTGGGTGGGTGTGTGGGCGGGGTGTGTTATTGAAAGTTAAAAGATGTGATATTCTGAAAATCTTCCCTGGTCCTGAGAGTGGCTGAACACACGTGTGTAACAGTTGACTACGTTCTTTTGTCATCCATCCGTTATATTATTTGTACACGGTTTGCTCGGTGAAGGCTGAGACAGAAACCCAGATAACCAAATAACCAAATCTTCTCCTTCTGAAGCCTCTGTAGTGCCGCTGCTGCTGATTTTGTTCTCATTTCGCGTTGCCACATTTCGCTTTGTCCTGATCTCATCTCACATTTCGAGTATTCTGAAATCCAGTCAGTACGTTACAGAGATGATATCACAAGAGGCAGGGAGAGCTCTCCTGATGGGTGCGCAACTCTCAAAGCATTTTCCGTACCGTAATTTCATGGGAGTGCAGATTTTTAAAACTCTTCCTTCTTTTAGTATTGGTTTGGAAAAGGAGGAGGAGGGTTGGTGGG